CTACAGGTTTGCAAAGGCTGTTGCCATTGTGTTAAGAAAAAATGTAAGGGAAATATTTTTTTCTGGTAATTCGTCTTCACATAAAGTACTTGTTGAGGCTCTGGCACAAGACAGTGACGTGCAGAAGCATTGGAAAATTATTGTTGGGGAAGAAGTTTTCCTCACTGATGCTTCTTTTAACAGCTTTCATTTCTTTGCCCAAAAACTCATTAATACCTTCATGGTTGGTTTTAAAAATTTAATTCTAAATAACAAATTTAAAAAGGGTAGCATCTTTAAGTCTCTGAGAGACAACCTTGCTGGTGGTAGTAAAGCATCTCATGTATGACATGGATTGCAGACCCACAAGGTACTGCTCATTTGGTCAGGAACTCCACTCCAGAACCCAAAGCAACAGCAACAGACTCCATTCCAGACAAGAACCTGGACGTCGATCCAACAGTCTCCCCTCCTAAAGGTAACCTAGAAAACAAAAACAAAAAACAGCCACGTAAGGTGCCTTCTCACATTCTGCTTCATGTGCTCCATCTGCGTGCCGCTGGGTGTCATTCACTACCGAGCACTAATTGAAATGTAACATTATTCTGTATCTAATGTGATTGAAAAAGTCAATGCGGCTGTGATTCACAGAGTGTGTCTTATTAATATTTTATTTTGTTGTTAGAGCGAACGGAAATAAGTACCTGCGATTGCCACAATGTGGTTTACCTTATTTTACTTGTAAAAGAACAAACGTGCAATGGCTATTGCTGTTGTTTAAATGCAAATGTACAGGGTTTTCACTTTGTTTTATTGATGTAATTCATTTAACAAGTATTGTGACTGATTGAGATACGGATTGCTTAACTCACATAGTAATTTAAATCCAAAGTTTACATTTTTTGTAAATGATATGATTTTATAATACTAATTATTGTCATTAGGATTTCCAAAGAGTAACTGTAATTGCAAAATTATGAGAATGCTTTATGGGCTGAAAGACTGCAATGAACAATGTACCTTCGACTAGCCCTAGATTGCTTTTATTTTTTAACTAAGCAAGTTTTACAAACACATAAAAGTAAGTTACTGTAATGTAAATAATGATATCTCACTTCGTTATGTACCTTATTTTATTGTT